TCTTCTCTGATGGTGGTAGCTTTGAGGCTTTCAGCCTAAATCGCATAAAAATAATATATTTTAGATTTCTACGTTGTACAGGAAACTCCTTTTACTGCATTATTTTAGTTTATGTATACAATTTACATATTGTATACTTACCGACAATAATTTGTTAACGATCGGTTATTTTCAGGATCGAAAGTTTTCGGTAAAAAATAATTACCAGTTAACGAAAAGAAGTTGGACATTGCCACTGTTTTATAGATGAGAAATTTAGAAAGTATACGATATAAAAAAGGTAATTTAGTTTATATTGTATACTGAAAGCAATAATAAATCATTGTATTCAAAAAACCGAATGCACTTCGAACAACCGAAAAAGCGTTTTCCGAGAAAAGTAGAACTAATAGCCTCATCGCTCATACACTCGGTATCCAAAAAGAAATTAATTAATTTCCGTGTAAATTTTAACTAAAAATGATGTTTTCGCTGACGTTCAATATTAGAATAAAGAAATGTAAACGTTAAAATGATTGCCGGTCAAAATCTTTGTATGTGTGTCGATAATCCGCTGGTTCGTGATAAAAGAATCTCCACCGTGTAGGTATAATATAATATTATATAGGATTTTGAAAAAAAAAAAACTTTTAAAAAAATTAGAGAGACCGAGTCGGTAATAATAAATTATCGTCGACAGAGAAGTAATTCCCACCACGTCTCCCCCTTCTCCCACCCACAAACACCGTTGAGAAGTGTAGTAGCGAAAACAATAAAAAAAAATATGTATACAGTTCCCGCAGACAACTTGTGCGCGCGCGCGTGTGTGTGTATGTGAAGCAACGGATAAAACATTCTCCATCATACATAGATACCTACGCGATAAAAGCATTAAAAATTAAAACCCATATGTATACACATGCTTTGGTGCAGAAGGAGGAAACTGGTTATTATAGTAGGTATTCTTATTTTATATATATAAAAAAAAAATAAAAAAAAATAAATAAACACTTACGTAAAATAATAATCGGCCCAACGATTGCCTGCCTGCCGCCGCCGCCGTCGGTGAATAAAAAACGAAAAATAACTATAATCATTCGTATATATTATATACGATTATTGCAGTTTATCGTTCAGCCCTTCGGTACAGTGGCATATTATTAGATGGGACATTATATCTCTTTCATAGCCTCCTCCCCCCTCCAGCCCCAATTCATGGTTAAAAATAAATTCTATTACTAATAATATAGCTACAATGTTATTACGATTTTTCTTTTAAATTCTATTTTTTATCGCTTTTTGGTCGGAAAAAAAAATCAAAAATACATTTAGTAAAGAAAAAAAAAAGCCGCGGCGTACTAACCGGGGTGGTTTATGGTACTACAGTCGTGTTAAAACACAACATTATATGAAATGTTCAGCGTTGAAAACACGTTACTAAAATGACCAATAATCAGTGCACATTTGGGTGAACCGGATTTTTCTTTTTTCATTTTCATTATTTTTTCTCGTGATATTATGTTCGACTTGATAAAAAAATGTCTCCCATCGAATTGTTAGATCATTCAAACGATATCTAGAGATCGCGAGCATCAAATTTATCAAAAATAGTTATTTTCTTAATTTAATTTTTTACAGTTCTCATTTACAAAAAAAAAAAAAAAACCCAAAATAGTCAAAAATAATTATTACAAGAAAGAACTGTATGGATATTTAAATAAAAAAAATTACGCTTATTTACCTTGTAAAAAATTTAATTGTTGACATTTTTGATGAATGTCAAATGTCACCACCATTCAAAACAAACTACTCGACGATGTTCTCCCCATAGACAAATCTTGGGCACACTATCGCCGAAACGAGACTCCACTAATACAATAACATAAAGATGATAATTATATTGATTAGTACGTAATTATTAAAGACCAATATACTATTTACTAATACAATAATTTTATTTCAGATTTAGGGCGGATTGAATGATAAAATATATAATTATTTACGAGGCTGTATAATCCCAAGGGCGGATCCAGGACAAGATAACGGAGGGAGGTAAGGCGATTTTGAAAATGCATATACGGCACGCATTTATATGACGAGTTCAATGATGAATCGAGCTAAGAATATATTGGCAAGTGAATGGGGGGGGGACGATCGTCCCCCCCCATCGCCCCCTCTGGATCCACCACTGTATGAACCAAGAATCCATTGACAAAATCCTAAACAATATGCGCCATTGTTTTCGTATAATATATCTGTTTATGTATAATTTTATATGCGTGAACCGTTGTTCCCTCCGTAATTGGAGAAGAATATAAATCCTCGGAAGAAAGAAATTATTTTTACCTCGTGACCCACACATCCACGATTGCCGGGTTTCGCATATGTCGTAGTTTATTATCGATTGTGTTCCGACATGACCGCTATTGGAATAGTTGAGGTTATTATCAATGATTTTCAGATTCTGATATCAGAGCGAGTATTGGTTTATCAGAAATTCTGCTCAGATATTCAAGTGTAGCACTTTTCCTGAAAGGAAATCCGACTCGGTCGTTTTTTGATTTCCCCGGGGGTTTTCATAATAAATGGGGAAAACATGGAAAAAACTTAGGAAAAACGGGAAAATTTACGAATTGTATTGTTATCGAATCGTAAATATTACGGCCTTTCGAAACACGTGTAACCCAACTCCGTTCAGAATCGTTTAATCGTTGCGTTCAAATATACATGGAATATCTCACCTACAACAGTGGCCGGCTCATCGTGTGAATTATGTCCGTTTGTTTTTCGTTTTGTTCGTCCTTACCGGATGAAATTAACTCGTCAAACACTGTACAGTATTGGCGTTATACCTACGCGTATTACGCGTGTGACGAGAACAGACTGAAAAAAAAAAAAAAAAAAACCGTTTCGATCGTTGAGCGAAGATGCCGATTCGTTTAGCGTGTAATATTATAATGAAAGTCCAATTAAATTTACCTACCGGAACAACTATTACTCGACACTTGCGGTTTAACGTTCGTAATTATACGGTGCAATTTCAAAACTGCCGTTTATCCGAGACCCGTTTTTTTTTTTTTTTTTTTTTTTTTTTTTTTTTTTTTTTTTTATTATTGTAATTTTTTTCCATTTCTCCTCGTACACAGTGGTAGCTATAACGCGCCGTGCGTGCGAGCCAACGTATAATGTTATGAGGTCATCTAATACCTATGTATATATTATATATATATATATTATAATAAGATGTAAATTCATAAAACTTTACTCGAAAATTTCGCGGGACCACCAACAGTGAAATTTTTCCCCCGAAAATAATACAACGCAATAATAACACCGCGCGCCTATTATAACGCACGCGCGTTTGTACATATATTGCGAACGCGTGATAATATAATAATATCGACACGGCGAGTTCGAAACCGTTCGGTCACAATAATAATCTCCCGATAAAATGACGGAGAGTGTACGAGCATGTGCGGGGAAAATAATCAGAAAAAAATTCGACATACCTCGCGCCGTAGGCGTGTCGCCGCCGCGGCCGGGAAATCGGGAACGTGTGCGCGTATCGGAAAATATTATACAGAATTAATGAATTGGTATCGCCACGATAATATATTAATCGTCGCTGACGAAATCCCGAGCGAATTTTTCGGTCGGTCGTTTTTTTTTTTTTTTTTTTTTAAAAACTTAAATCGAGAGTCGTATCGAAATTATCTCGGTATTTTCGCGCGTTTTTAGCGTTTCATTTTTTTTTTATCCGAATAAAGACTTACACATATTAATATTAATGTTATATGAAATGCTTTTGGCGATAAGTCGCGACGTATTATCGAATTGTTTCATTTTCACGATAAAAGGCGATAAAAGTCGTTTTCTCGCTTATAACATTCTTATTTTTTTTCCTTTTTGTACATATTATATTTTTAAAATTTTCAAACGTCTATTATTCTTGTAATCGTTTCTAGAGCTAATGATTCATTTTACTTTATATTTTTATATAAGATAGCCAATTGAAAAAAAAATATGTTTAAACAACATTTTGGTGTTTTAAAATGTACTAATGATGAATCGTTAAGTTTCGATAATTGTTTGAAGTTTAAAAAAAGCATTCACATTATTATTTTTCATGGACTATTGGGCGAATCGATTATACTTGGTAGTGACAATAGACATGATTAAAAATATCGTTAAATTTAAAAAAAATTGTTGAAATTAACGACTCATCACTTGTAAATACTTTTAGCCTTTACGGTAAAAGCCGTAAAATTCACGGCATTTCTAAACATGATTATTATTATACACTCCGCTTAGAAGCGTTTTTCATTAGTAATGATTCGTCGTTACATACAAATATGAATTGAATTCCCTGCTACCGTCCTACCCCGTCTTAAAAAGTGGTACACCTACGGTGTTAAGTTTGTCTGTGTTTTTTATTCTTCATTTACCTGTTGAATTATATTTTTCATACAGGAAAGAATTATACTAAACAATATACGAATAAACGATTAACGTAAGAGTCATCTCACGTAACTTATAATCTTACGGGACTTAATCCCGTAAGAGGGATTAAGTCGAACGAGAAATGGCGTAAGCTACACAATGTTATTGTTAAAAGTCAACAAAAGCTGTTGAAAATTAATATTAATCGAATCAAATTACGATTACAAATTAAAAACAAATGTCCTAAAATCAATGAAAAATCAAAAAGTTACGGAGTTCCTTGTCTCTACTGTAAAATAGCTGTTTTTAACCCATTCGTCTAAAAACCGTCAGATTGGCCGGTTCAAATTTCTAAAACCGCGATGATGTTAGTTATAAATATTGTGAATCGATGTGACGATGCGATAATTTTTTGACGGAGATCAGTAGTTTTTACAACTGTTAAATTGATTTAAATTATGTATGAAGTTATCACAACGCCACTGGCTGGATCTGTATTCAATAATCCTGTAAGACATATTTTAACAAACGATAACTTCAAACAAAATATTGATCTATAACACAAAAACAAATATACAAAAGTCAGTTTTATTCCATAATCGCGTGGTTTATTTCATTTAAACGGTACTCCGGTAAATGGCACTTCGTTTTTATAATTCTCTTTTAATATGAGGTCTAATTTTATTTCCGGCGCGTCTATATGCGGGTAGTGCAGTTGGTTTTCTGACATCGGAATCAATGTCGTTTCGTACCAACCGTACCTGAAAAAAAAAACCGTCGCGAATCAATATCATTATTACCGATATTTTACATAAAAATAAAAAAACAACAACAAGAAACTCAAGACACAACAAAATGTATGATTATCAATTATAGTGTACGTTTATTATGACGGCGTATATACATTTTTTTTATCATTTTAAAATTATTGAACTGAATTATATGTATTACCGTTTACCGTTTAATTTTAAAGCACGTGTATTCGACGGAATATAACAGTAATAAGAAATCGATTCCAGAAGGCCAAATATAACAAAAAAAAGTTACTATTTACCTTTGATTTTCGGTCACCGGAGAAGGAAATTTGTTTTTCGGTCCTAGCGATTTGACCTGTGCCAATAGTTTCACGTAATGATAATTCGGTTCGCCTTGGTTGGCGTTCGCTTCGTGACGGGCGTAGAACTTCCCGGTTACCGGTGACACTGGAAAACGTAGTCGTCCGTCACTAATCGGCTACACGTTTTATCGAAAACATCGACTCGGTACTAACCTTTTAAATTCGGCCGAAATTCCGTGTAAACCTTTTGGAATTGTTTTTCTTTTTTGTATAGCTCCACCAACAGATTGTAATTGTACGACATGGGGGTGTTGCGGTGTAGTCGCGTGTGTCCGTGTTAATAATTGTGTACCTAGGTAATTTTTTTTTTTTTTTTTACGTGTGAATTTTGTATATTATATTTTAAATGTGTTATAATAATACTGCACGTTGTCCGAGCGACAGAAAACCGGAATTCTTTTATTTTCCAAACGGTTTTCATAATAGCTGCAGGGCGAAACTGGAAAATAACGTATAGGCAAAATGGACAAATATTTCGCACCCTTGGACCAAGACCGCATCTTCTTTAAATTTTTGAGAAAAATCAATTTTAAATATCAAATTTGAACCGAGGATGCAATTTTTATGTTATTTCTGCGACTTAAACGTTTTATTTAACATTTAAATCTGTACTTTAAAGTAGTGTAGAATACGATATTATTATCTTATTGCTATTAATAGAATTTAAATTTATGGCGGTTTTTAATTATATTTCATTAGAAAATACTGCCACATTCTGATATGGTGCGTTATTACATTGTGTTTATAAAAAACAATATCAGCCATGAAACCTAATATGGCAGTATTCAATAATACTTTTGAGGTCACTTGTTTATAAAAAATAAAACTGTAAACCGCCACAAATGTAATTATGGCAGTTTTGAATTTCGAGACCATGGTTAGTTTATGGTTTAACAGAAAGTTATGCACTTGTATTTAGAAATGTGGCAGTATTACGTTCATTAAAAAGAAAAAAAAACAAACAATATTTTACCGACACAAATCTGTGACTCGGAATTTAATCAAGATAACGTTTATGACGGTCTACCATTATGTAGTCGAAATTTTCGTGGTTCTGATAATATATCAAACACTAAAGTACCAAATAATTGAGTTATGGCGGTCTTGCTCCAAGGGTGTGATTTACGGCGCGCCGTGGCGTTACCAATTTTCCCTTATCTACAATTTTTCACCAGATTTCCATCGGAAATTCGGCTCCGATCAAAAAACGACAAGAGATAGTTTTCGTTGAATTTCGGATCATATAGACGATTGCAAAGACAGTGGTGTTTTGATTTTCCGACCAGGTTTCTTAATAACTGTACGAAACCGGGGAAAAAACTTAGTAAATAAAGTGTTTGTTGTTTTCAATTTTGTTTTTTTGTTGGATTCTATTGAAAATAAACGTAAAGACCTAAAATTTTCACAGAATACTTACATTTACATATTTCACTAAACGTGATCAAATTTTCAAACCATTACGATGATTTTTGAGCAATTTACAGACATTTAGAATTTTCGAAATTCAACACGAAGTTTGTTTTAAGCTAAATATAATGGTCATAAAAAAAAAAATTGAGCGTACCTAATGTAGTATTTTTTTTTTTTTTTTTTATACATACAATCAAAATATGTCCAAAGAACAATTAAGAAAATACGGAATTTCTAGGACATGTACAACCGAACTTCGCAAAGAATAGTTCTTCGTTAACACTGGTTAGGTTTTGGGTTTACTTATCTAGCTGCAATGTTTATGATTATTAATCAGCATTAGGATTGTGCCAGTGCTTTTGAGGCGCCATTCAATGAATATTTGAAATTAATTTGGCGACGACCTTACTACTCATGCCATATTTATATCTCTCGTATTTATTGCATATTAGTAAAATGTATACTGAAAAACTTGGAGAGTCGCACGACGGTTTTAGTTTTCGTATGTACACTGTATATAACGCGCGATGAATTTCAACGATGCGCACAGTGGCGCCAAACAAGGAGTTCAAGGTCTGGTTATGACCAGACCTTATTTTTTGGATAGTGGTGGTCGTTGTTAATGGTTAGAATTTTTCCTTTGTGTATACGTGTTATGTAAAGTAAAAAATAGCAATGATATTTTACAAGGGCTAAAAATTCGATTTTATAGCACACAAAACTTGATAAATATTGCGATAAAAACGGAATAATTCAAACTACGTAATTTTCAATAGTGCGAAATTTCGATAAATATTGTTTTTAGAAATATTTTCTCATCGTAGAGACACAAACCAAACGAATGAACACTATGATTTCAAATCAATACCGTCGGAAGACTCACCGGCACCCCTGGCAAACTTAAAGAAAAAGAATCGTTTTTATCGATTAAATATTTGATACGTGGCGATAATTTTTTTTAACCGTTAGTATTTTCTAATCAGTTTTTAAGAATCCAGCGGTAGAAATTTAGGATGTTATTACCCCGTTTGGCGTCCCTGGCGTAGGCACAGTTTCACTGTTTCAGTCTTTATAGTCGGCAATAGAAACAAAAAAAAAATAATAGAACAATCGGATAAAATAGATAAAAAAAATAAACGTACACGGATGGAGACGGGCTATTCGGGGAAAACCGGTAGAACAGTATGTACACCACAGATGCCAATTCTGTCAAAGTGAGGGTATTTTTCGTATTATATAAACGGAGGGCCCGGATTTTGAAACGCGCAATTTTACATCCGGTCACCCGGACGCCATTTTTTCGCCGCCGCCGCCGCCGCCGCGGACGGCACGACGGCAATGTTATCATTTCGCTACGACGGCGACGGCGCGCCGGGGACTCGTGATTTATCGAAACGTCGGCGGCGGCGCTGCCATTATGACGGTGCGCGTTTCCCGTCGCCGTCGGGTTCTGTACGTCGTAATAGTATCGTTATGTGTACCGCGTTATTGTGTAACAATGACGATAATATTATTATTAATACGACATTACGATTATTACGATCGCCCGTTGCGGGCGTTGCCGCGCGCGCGTTGTGCCGGCGTACGATACCCGTAGCGCTGCGCGGGTACGTACCCGCCCGCGCCGCAATAATAATAGTAACGCCGCGGCGCGCGCACGGGCGCGCGGCCGATTCCCACGCGACCGTAACGCACGCCGAGTGTGCCGGGCGCCTTCCGCGGAGCGGCCGCGGTCCGACCGCAGCAACACGATAATAATAATAATAACAATAATAATAATATTACAGCGTCCCCGTCGCCGTCGCCCCGTGAACAACAATACGGAATGCTGTCGCACGAGCAGCCGCCGAGCAGGTATGCGTGCGTCGCGCGCGGAGGTCCGGACGCGGGAGCGCGCGCGACCGAGCGTCGGGCGCGCAACGACGGCGTAACGCCGTTCGCGACGATAAATAACGACGCGAAAAGCGGCCGCCGTTATTGAACGCGCGCGGTTTCGTGCGTTTTTATTGTTGTTGTTGTTGTTGTTGGTGTTACCGTGCCGTTGTGCGGCGTTTTCGCGCGCCCGCCCGCCGCACAATACAATACGATAATTCATCGTTGTTATTCGTATCGCGCGCACAAACCGCACGGCGGACGTTTCGCGGCGCGTTCGACGCGCGGGCGCGCTCGCGGATCGGCGGTCGCCGGAACGGTTATCGGGCTCACGGACCCCGAGGACCGCGCGGTTTCACCCCGTCGAATATCGCCGCGGTTCGACCGCCGGGACCGCCGCCCCGGGGCAATAATGGCGTGCCGGCGAGTTCCCGCGCGCGAGCGTAGCTACCGGACAAAACGATTGTCCGTATAAAATGCGGCGCGTTAATATCCCCGCGCGGATATGAAAACGAGACGTGTAAGTTCCTGCGCGGTTAGAATAAGTTCAAACGTCGGTAAGCGTACGCTTACTCGCGCTATATTATTACGGATCGGGTGCTTATATTTATCATTAAACCGACTGTTATTACGTACGTAAGTATAATAATAATAACGTGCTCGGTTTCAAACAAAATTATAAAAATGGCATAGCGCCCAATACATTTCATATACAAATGGATGATGATAATGTCTTTACAAAAAAAAAAAAAAACACAAAAATTATTTTAAATTTGATCGGGTTTATTTCTGAAACTTAACACAATCGTATCGATTAATTTTGTTTATTGTACATTGTTTTGTATTATCATTGCCTATCTATTTATGAAATGCATTATATGCGACATAGGAATTTAGGTACATAATACACAATACTTTTAAAAAAAAAAAAAAAAACATTTTTTTTTATTTCGAGTTTTAATTTTTTCTAAGGAGGGGAGGGTTCTTCGCCTTTATTTTTCTCCCCTGATGTTATGTTGCGCTGTACACGATGGGTGCCTGCGTTTATGTGTCAGCGGTGCGATCAAAAGATTTTTGAAGGGCCGAAGCGTTTGAATCGTTTTCAGTGGGTGGCCCGTTTGGAAGGCTCGCGGCTCAATTTGTAAATACTACGGCCTTTCAAATGCCGAATTCCGCTTAGAATCGTTTTTCGTTAGCGACGCTTAACCGTCACGTAATTTCACTTTTTAATTTAGGCATTGCGTCGAATACGTTCGCTGTGCGGTCAAACAGTACAAAGAAATGGGTACTAAGGTACCAACAGGCAAACGCACACGAATCGCTGTGCTACTACGTTGGATTTAATTACCACCGCGTGTATGTATATAGACGCTGATCACTCGCTGGGCTCTCCGAGCTTTTTAGAAAATTCCAGACGAACGCCAATGATTTAAAAACGTGGGAAAATTGCGAAACATTGCATTATAAAATCAAATGGACAGAATACTTTTAGTATATAACGGTTGTATATTTAATCAGATCTGATTTATCTTTATTGCAAAAAAAGTAGCAATATCAATTAAATCCGGTCTTTAACTATAATATAATGTAAAAAACTAAAGAACTACCGTTTAAGTTAACTATTGTTACACGTCTCGTCGCGATAGTCATGTTTTAACAGTATCGTATTACTGCGTTATGATTTGTAAGTTGCATTAACACGTATTTATATTCTGTTTGTATTTTTTTTTTTAAATAAATATTTCCATTTATCGCCAAGTAAGCATACAATATGCACTGCGGATTATTCGCTAGAACGCGAGCCGTGTGCAATGTGTATTGTATTTTTATTACTTTTTCAGTCGATTTTATTTCGTTTATTTCGTTATTGAGTTGTACTCGTAGGTATTATAATACAATTAACAAGTTTTAAATAATATGGTCTATATCGACTGTATGTTTACATTTTACCTGGTTGAAACG